ACAACATGGGTGGTGGTCCTCCTATCAGCAGTGGTCATATGAATAATGGGCCAATGGGTGGCCCCATGAACAGTGGTCATCTGAGTGGTCCTATGGGTGGGCCACCAATGAACAGTATGGGAGGTTCCATGGGTGGTCCACCCATGAACAGTAGTCCTATGGGTGGCCCACCCATCAATAATGGTCCTATGGGTGGCCCATCAATGAATAATGGCCCAATGGGAGGCCCTTCAATGAACAATATGTGTGGACCCTCAATGGGGGGTCCACCAATGAACAGTGGTCACATGGGAGGGGGTATGAATATGGGACAAATGAATAATATGGGCACCATGAGTCCGATGAATCACCATCACCATTCACCTCACCAGCATCCGATGGGCAATATGGGCCCAATGAGCAGTATGGGAGGCAACATGACACCAGGAATGCATCACATGGGCATACATGGGCCTCCACATGGCCCGCCTCATGGTTTCCCTGGTCCAGGAATGGGACCCAAACCCATGCCAGTTTCTGCAGGCAAGGTAAAGAAAGTGGTATCTACATTTTTAAGAAGAATGGATGTAATGAGATATTGCATATCTAGACACTGACTAATGACGTTTCTTTTTTTAATCTCAGGTGTATCCACCAGACCAGCCCATGGTTTTCAACCCACAGAATCCCAATGCTCCTCCCATATACCCTTGTGGTACCTGCCATAAGGAAGTTCATGACAATGACCAGGCCATTCTCTGCGAGTCGGGATGTAATTTCTGGTTCCATCGGTAAGATTCATCAACTCTTAATGTTAGAAGAAAGTGTGATGAGTCTATTTGTCAGAACGCAAAATCTTAAAAGTTTTATTTACACGGCGGCATCTTTCAACGAGAACCAGAATGTATGAGTTAATTTTGAATAATCTGGATTGCTGTAATTCTACACACAAGTACTGGTCCAGCAGATGGTTGACTGCATGTGGCCCAAAAAGTTTACTGCTTTGAAATTCAGTATTTCAGGCATCTCTTCAATAAATTTGGCAAAAGTACTCTATAATATTAATAAAAATCACTACTTGTAATTTAAGTCTGTGCAGAGCCTCTCAGATACTTTTTCTAGCATAAATTTGTTATCATTTCAGTTTTGTGGCATTTGAAAAACTTGTTCTTTTTTTATTTTTTCAGAGTGTGCACTGGCTTGACCGAAGCAGCCTATCAATTGCTCACAGCAGAAGTGTATGCAGAGTGGGTGTGTGACAAGTGTTTATCTTCCAAAAACATACCGTTAGTGAAATTCAAGCCATAATAAACATTTACTCCTTATCCTCGCCCTCCCCACCTGTTCCACTCATGGACAAGATAAGTACTGATATACTGTCAAGTCAATCTCCTGCCTGCCGTGTTGCCAAGAGAGATTTGGCACCGAAGAATATGTGTGCAAGTGTTTATGTGTGCATACGTGTGTTTTTGCTGCTTGTATGTATGGGAATGAGAGATTCAAATAATTTACAAATGTGTGAAATATGTTTGTAATCTGTGCATACTTCCTTCTTGGAATTCTTACTTTATGAATCATATTTTTATCTTCTGTTCTTAATACTTAACCCACTGTACTTCTGACAAGAGTGTTGATTTTATTTTTAGGTATTAGGCAGCTAATCTTGTTTCATAAGTGACAACACAATCAATTTGGTGACTACATACTATATAATAATTGTGTTCATATTACTTATTAATTTACAAAATTGAGGCAATTGTTTGTGACTTGTCTTTTTGAGATATTATATCGTATTTTGAGATAATTTTTTGTACATACGATAAAAATATTGCGTGGTCGGGATTTTGTCATGTAAGTTTCTTTCTGTAAAATAATCTTGTATGAAAATACCTACACTGCATGATCACATGGTCACAAAGGAGCTTTCTTTTTAAAGTAACTTAATTTTTTTAAGTTCTGGAACTTCAGCATAATTAAGTGAAATTAAATTAAAGAGTTCTTGTAAAAATCTTCATACTTAACAAATCATCTTTTACTGAGTATGCTAACTACAAAAGGAAAAATGTGCATAGTTTATTTTTTATCATGTGAATAAATATATTAGCAATAAAATTTGTTATACATTATAATATTTGTTGATTTCATTTTGTTACTGAAATTTGTTTTTCACCTTGAAGTTCTGTTGCAGTAATAATAAGAAATAATGCCAGCATTTTAAAATGATGTACACAATAAATATGCCTACATTTATGCTGATAGTCTTGTTGCTGGGGGCAGTGATTATGTAAACATGTATGCAAAAAAAAGTGAAACTTTTTAAATATATTCAGCAGTGCATTACTACTGTGAACACAAGTTAATGAAAAATTTCACTTTGTAAACATGTGTTGGCTGTATTTTTCACAGGTGAAGGAAGAATATTTGCATAAATTGCTTTTAAATAGTAATTTTTATGGCTATAGATTTTTACCATAATTTTCATTAAAGTAGTAATCAAATATTTCTGAAATTGAAATTTCACCCTGCAAAATATATTCAAATTGAACAGCAACTATGTGAAATAGAAAATTTATACACGCTATAATTATAAGATTATTACAAATTCCATAAATTTCAACATTTTGTTTATCCAAATGGAAAGAGTTCACATGCTGGACAAATGAGACAGTAAAACCTAATGCAATGTACTGGCAATTATACTCAGTAAGTTTCACTTTTCTAATAATATTTTAAGATCAAGCCAACATAAAATTTCGTTCACACAAATATATTGCAAAAGTATTAAAAAGTCATCTGACATTGCTTATCAACTATCACAGGTTACCGGGATAGTAAAGCATAATTTATTAGTAAGTTACACAACCATTATATCGTAACTGCACCCAGGAGAGATTTGAAATATTAACAACTTATAATGGGTAATGCATCTATAACTTTAAATTACTTCAATATCATATGCTCTTAATTCATACTTTCAAAAGTTCCCATGGAAACCATAATGATAACAAAGTTTTATGCAAGATATTGCAGTCATTTTCACACACTTTGAATTAATGAAATTTTGCAACAGCAGTAGTGTATGAAACTGAATTATTCTGATTATGCAGAAAAAAAACAAGCAATAACACTATTTTATTACAATGTATTCCTAATTATTCATGCACGTTTTTCTGTTTTAACTGCATTACTTCTTGGATTAAGTGGATGTTTATAGAATTGTGCATTGTCATGTACAAACAGGTACCCAATGAACCAAACTTTTGTCTCTCATCCTTTACATTATGTTATTCCACTGTACTGTTTTATTTATATTTCATATTTTATGACTGGGCATTGGAAAAGTTACAGAAAGGCAGGTAAAAACCAAACCTTTGCCCACCACAATACTAAAATGCAACTGCCAAATTTATAATAATCAGTAAAGTCATAATTGTGATACTAGAATGGGTATTCATGAGTAATTTGTCATTTAATATGTCTGTAAGTTAAAGAGAGAGAGAATTTTAAAACTTAATTCCTTTTCGTCCATGATATGTATGCAGTGTCCATCTTTTAGTGCACTCAATTTCACTTGTTATTTCACAACATGTTTCGGCACTATAGTGCCATCATCAGGTGCTCAATTTACATTAATCTATTTCATTGCCTGCCATTATGTCATTGTAAAATTTAAAAAGTATTTAAAAATGTTCATCAATAAATAATCTTAAGTTTTTAGTATATAAATATTTATTATAATTGATGAACATTTTTAATACTTTTTAAATTTTACAATGACATAATGGCAAGCAATGAAATAGATTAGTGTAAATTGAGCACCTGATGATGGCACTGTAGTGCCGAAACATGTTGTGAAATAACAAGTGAAATTGAGTGCACTTAAAGACGGACACTGCATACATGTCATGGACGTAAATCAGTGCAACAGGACGCTAAAATACAACATTAATTCCTTTATTTTTTTTTTTTCATGTTCTTACAAGTTAGTCTCAATAATCAAGAGATACAGTCATCTGCTATTCTTCCAGTAATCTCTATATAAATCAGGTTCTCCCTAGTCCAGGTGGCTGTTTATTTGCCACCGTGTGGCATATGAGAGTAGACTGTATAATGTAACGCTAAGGAGAAATACTATTTTTTTTTCCTGAGATCTGAGGTTATCACATAGGTGGCTATAAAGAGCACTATCTTTTGGGATGTGACACAGTGTAGTCTGGTAGAAGTTCACCATTTTGGAGGAGTGTACTAACTCCATATTTAGGGTGAAACAGTTAGCCAGACAAGCAACAAGAAAGCAGCAATTGCCACTTGTTTCTTGCAGTATGTTCCTCCAAAATGTTCGTGAACTTCTACCAGATTATGTATTGTCATCCCACAACAGACTGCTTATCAGTTTTTTCTTTGAATATCAAAGCCATTCCTCTGTGACTGGATTCTGAATTTTTCCAGTTTATTATAAAGGTAAAAAAGGTAAAGTTGTCCCTGTGCTTAACTAATCAAGCACTATGCCATGAAGGCATATGGAGGAATGGATGTATAGATCCACATTTTTTTTTCTTGGCACTAGTTTGAGGTGAGTGGTCAGCTTTACCTCGCGCGGAAAGAGCCCCCAGTACCCACTGGATACGAGGCTGGGTGGACACCAGAGCTGGTCTGAACAATGGAGAAGAGAAAATTTTTCACCCTACTGGGACTCGGAACTCCAGCCCGTAGCCAGTCGCTTATACCAACTACACTATCCTGGCTCCCTGAATATTTATTATATGTTCTGAAAATGTTGTAGTTTCTTTATTTATCTTGTTTCACCACCACCACCATTATCTTCATTCAAACCACCTATACAGCAAGGCTGCCATATTTGTGTCATTATTAAATATCAGTGTATGATACCGCTTATAAACCAAGGTGTAAGATTCCATAATATGCTTAGTATAGCTACTTTTATTTCTTTCAGGAAGTAAAGGTCATACTAGTTTTATGAATTTGAACCCCCCCCCCCCCACANCTAGGCACAAAGTTTTTTTATTTTTTTGACTGAGTATGGCTTGTATATAAAATGAAAATATTGAGGGTCAACCCAAATAACTCACATACATAAAGTTTCAGCATGGATATACTGATTTTGAACAAATTTTTGTTGAAATATCAAGGTCTGTTTATTTTATGTAATTGTATTTTCTGGTGGCAGTGAGCTAGTGTTGCAAGCTACCAACACACATTATATTGCAAACTAGGTTTCTAGTGTTGGAAATGGAAACCTGTAAAATAGAAGACATTTCAGAAAAAGTGTACAACCCCACCACACATTTTCCAAAGTGGTAAGATATTATGTTTATTTAAGCTCCAGGATAAGGCAAGTGGTAGTGATTCAGGATTAAAATATGATGGTGTAAGTACTATTTTCCACAAATTTTAAACTAAGCTTCAACATCAAAAAGAAAATCAAGTAACCAAAGTGAATATTTCATTCACTCTACTCCTACAGGTCTATCTGCTTACAAAATTTCATACATTTTAGTTTTGTAATGTATGTCTGTGTCACACTTTTACTGTAGGAAAGTATCTTGAAAGATACTTCCATATTTGAACCAGACACTATGATGACCTTTAGAAGAAAAATAAATTAACAGACACTATTTCAATGCAACTTGCTACTTTTAGAGAAAAACAGTTTCAAAGTGAGCTCTTACAGACAGAAACACACATTAATTCACTGTTAAGATGAATAAGCATCTTTTGAAATGTAAAAATTACTTTTTTGTTCAGACATTTTATTTCTTTTGAAGATTTTAATACAAAATATATTAATTACTGGCACTTCTCAGTGAAGACATCCAACCATACAATTTTTTTTAATCTAGTCCCTTAAAAATTTTATAAAAGCATAACACAAACAGGGAAGATGGCTGCTCCCTGAACACATTGCGGAAGCACTTCATTCCTCCCACGTAGGAATGCAAGGAGGCTTTTTCAATGGAGAGGTGTTGACTTGACTTCCCTCTGCCAGTGGTTGCCACATGCATGTTGGTACCAACCCATAAGACCAAAATATGAAACTCCATTTCTGTGAAAACCTCGTATCTTTAAAACAAGTTCATAATATTCAACATTCTAACTATGCTCTAAAAAGAAACATAAATGTTTTATTTTCAGATGCTGGCAGAAATACTTGCATAATAATAATATTGCATAAATTGTATACTGGAACATACTGGAAGATTTGGGCCACTGTTACAAGTTTACTGTGTGAAATATATTTTTTTGGCTGTTTTTAAAAATTAAGTTATTAAATCATTTGTCAGAATCCCTTCCTTCTACTCTGAGCATTGAATATAAATATCAAAGAGAAACCTAGTTACAGCACATTTACTTTTAAAGAAACAAAACTTTTAAAAAGTTAAACAAATGACTAGAATGAAGAAAGTCGTCTTCTGGGATCTGGCGCCGTGTATTCTAGAATATTCATTAAAGAACAACTCAACATTTGTGGCATGGTATGATATGAAGTACACAAGTGTTTTGCAACAAACCAGTCCTGCTGCAAAAAGTGGTAAGTTAGGGTGGTTCAAACCTGAATTCAACTCTGGCTCTGGCTTTAAGAATTGTGCTGTAGTTTCCTTCTAACCACTTCTTGCAGTTTATACGTGTTTGTAATGGATCGTGCCACATGACTCTTGGTAAACCGAACATCTTTTTCTTTGCTGATCCCTTCCAGCCAGGTATCATGAGGAACATGTGGACGCTTAAATATTGGAGCATTGTTGCAAGTAATGCTCAAACCTGTTGAAAATATAATTTGTTATCTTGTAGTTTTCTTTTGTGCCACAATCATATGTAAAGGTAAGAACGTAAATTTTTTCTGAATGCCTGTGCATGTCATGAAGACATGTGAGGGAAATCAATCCCTCAAAGCCTTTAACTTTTTACTTATAAAATAGGGAAAATAAAGAAATAACTGAAGAAGAAACAGGGTCACTATGTCAATTTAGGTCACACTTCTTTTTCCACACTATTTTTCTTTTTCAACTCGCTTTCATGTAAGTGTCCCAAATGAACTGCATGCCATGTTCCTTCTCAAAGTTCATGTACATTGTAAGCAGTTACTTCCAAAGCGGGAAATCTGAAACATTACTTACGAGGATTTGGATTAATGACAAAATTGCTCCTGTTGATGTGATGTGGAAAATGAGGCTGAAACATTAATAATGCTCTGTCAGAGTTATCACATTTATATTCTTACCTTACACTGGGCTAACAGTTTTTAGAATTGCTACCTAACCTGCATCTGCTTTGTAAGTCTGACTGATTGCTACGTTGTTACTGTTATCAGCTTGTTGGGGGGAACACAGAAATGGGGTTCTGTAAGCCTTCTTTCTTTGTAAAACATATCAGAACTGTAAACTACGAGGGTAACTCAATAAGTAAGTTACAAATGGATATAGAACTTAAACAAATAAGAGTACTGATTTGAAAAATGCTTTTATTTCTCAACATAATCTCCCTGTACATTGAGGCACTTGTCCCATCATTTCACAAGCCCCTGAAAACCAGCAGCATAAAATTCTTTGGGCTGCTGTTGGAACCAGGTGGTGACTTCCCTTTCTACAGCTTCATCATCGGGAATATGTTCAGCTGAAAGATGATGTTTAAGAGGGCTGAAACAATGGAAGTCACATGACAGGTTAGGTTTTCACAAAGTCAATGCACGATGGTGTCACACAGGCTGACCCCACAACACAAAATGCAAAGAATGGGTCTGGCATTAGAGCACCTCAATCACTACCACGATGAAGGACACGATATGCTAGCCCAAACTGTCACAGGTGATGAGTCTTGCTCCAAGCGACTTCCATTTGTTTGGCCCTCTTAAACCTNATTACCAGCACTTTCTTACATAGCATAATGAAATACTACCACAGTCAATAAGTTCGTGGAATGGCCGCAAAGCATTGTATGGAAATTTACTGCCAATATGTTTCAGCAATGTTTTTGACAGCTATATCAACGTTGACACTTGCATAGCGGCCAACGGCAACGATTTTTAGGGCTGATGCGGATTTGCATAAGTGTATGTGAATACATTGTAATATGATGCAATAAAACCACATTCCATGAACTTAACGACTCTACCACGTACTATATATGTACAAACAAGAAAATTAATATTCATACTAACACATAATATGGGGGGCACATGGTAGCATAGTTGGTGGAGGCACTATGCTACAAGCCGAAGGTTGCAGGATCGAATCCCGATGAGGTGGATTTTTTCAATTCACCTAATCCTTCCAGTCATATTATGGCCCTGGGGTCGACTCAGCCTCTAACAGAAATGAGTACCAGGAATATTCCTGGTGGTAAAGGGCGGCCGACACATAAGGCTGACAACCTTACCACCATCTGTGACCCAATTGTCTAGAAAATGTGGTAGCCTCAACATCTCACAACCCTATGGCCTCCAAGGCCTGTTACAGGGACACCTTTTCCTTACTTTCTTACTTACTAACACATAATTTGAGGTACTACATATAACTTTTTGTCATGCAAGGGTTGAGCTTGTTAGCCCATTCCATCCTCAAAACATCAAGCAGATATATAACTGTTAGAAATATAAATGACTCATTTTAGTAATTAACTTCAATATCATGAGATTTTATTGCTGAGCATGGTAAAAGAATCTAATTACAAAAGTAAAATTTTTTGTCTATTTAAATTTTACTTTCTGCCTATTTTAATCTTATACATGAACAGCTATGTTTTGTTCAGTTTCTGCATTCAGGGATTATTAAATATAACAAATACCATATGCCACACATTACTGGATGCAATTATTGTAATGTAATTATATTATGTTATACCTTAGTAGCACTGGAAAACATGGATGGAAGTTTACTACTCTCTTCATCTATAGCATGTGAAGAGTTGTACATCTTTCTATACAGATTAAATTGTTTCTCTCTGTCCAGCCTTACACTGCCATTCTTCTTCATTGCATTAACAATCTGTTAACAAAAAATTTTCGTAATTGAGTGAACAGAACAGAGTCCTTAAGAGCTAAGCTGGTCAAGAAATTACTCAGATTTCATGGAATCCAGTTCTTCATTAAGTTTTGAAGAGCCTGGTAAGTTTGAAGCCACATGTAACATTTAAAAACATGCTGGTATTTTACAGCAAGGAGCTGAAATCCCAAACCCAAAGCTTAAGGACACAATTCTTAAAGGTACCTGGGGCAGATACTCTGCTCATTTTTGAGCAAATAACAGATAAACATCCTTCCAATAAGATTCTGCTACTGCAACAGCATCATGTATACATGAGGGAAGTATTTTGGGGCTGAGTAATAGAGTGATTGTGGCCAGCATGCTCCCCTGACCTTAGTCCATGTGATTTTTCTTTAAGTGAAATTATAAAGTTAAGCGTTTAAAGATCAAACACCCACACAACTGAAGAATAAAAGGAAGATATCCAAAGGGGAGTTTACTCTAACAACTTCCAAGCATGAATGTAATCTTTGTAATTTTTATTTGAAATATATTTAGCCTGAAGTTTTGTCAGTTCCTCAGAATGTGCAGAAAGTCATGCCCATGGACTCTACTACACAATTTCTTGATGAACATTGTGATAAAAAATATTCCTTAATAAAATTCTGACCTACACATAATTATCCCCCAAAACATGTGACCGGAGTTGAGTGCAATAGGCAACACAGTAACTGATACTTGTGCTTATGGACTCCATCACAATTCCTTGAACACAGAGACGAAAATGTCTCTTCAAAAAACTTCGACATAATTTTTGCAATTACAGGGGGCATATACCATGTTGCCACATCATATACATTGTGGCATGATGGCTGAAAGCTGGAACAGTGGAATAAAAGAGACAACCATTGTTATGCAAGGGCACAGTAAACACATTTATGCAGCAACAAATCAACAAGCAACAATGGATGAACTATTGGAAGCACTATTTTCTGTATTGTCTATGCCAAGGTTATATAGCAAGGACCAATGAGGCAAGTTAGTTAGTTAGTTAGTTAGTCAGTCAGTCAGTCAGTCAGTCAGTCAGTCAGTCAGTCAGTCATAGGTGAGAGTTAGCAGTTAGCAGTCAGCTGTCACTGAGCAGCCACAGTTGGTGGTTGGCCATGAGCACGGAAGCAGAAGAAACTCCACTGTTAGAAGCTGCTACCTAGCAATGGCTAGTGAAGACATAACAAACTGAGAAGACTTAGTGTGGGCTGTAGGGATTTGCAGGGTGTGTAAATTAGTAAGGGTGTCATACTTGTTTGTAATTATAAGTCATAAGCATTCAATAAATTTAACAATCAATCCAAACCTTGCGTCCAGTCACTAACACATGACAATATTATACATCACAGCAGGTTTAAGATAAGGTACCAAGGGGCCTTCATGGCTTCATGTTAAGACTAAGCCAGAACTTTTATTTTTAGCTTGCCTTATAATTGTTTTTGAATGTCAGAATTTGGACAAACAAGAGACATAGAAAACTCACCTAATATCTATATCTTAAATCATAAAATGAGATACTATTAAAATTACCCCATAAAAGGGCAGAAAAATTATAGAACTGATACAACTTTCACTCTGATAACATCATGCAGAAAAATTATAGTTCATGTAATGAAGTACTTTTAGATTCTCAAAATGTTGTTATGCAAATATTCCATAACCTTGGCAAAACTGATATTTTTATATGGTCACTAATTACGGGCTGGGTGATGTACTCAATTCGCAGATGGGAAAGGAAGTTCACTCTTTGCTGCTACATCCAGAGGGACTTAGAAGCTTATCCAACCTCCTCTTTAATGGGCACTGAGGGCTTTTCCTCCCAGGGACAAAGAAATCAGAACTTGAAGCTGACCACTTACATCTATAGATGTCTAGAAATCATGAAGACTCACTTCTACACCTCCTGTAGACCCTGATGGCACAATGCCTCATACTTAGCGTCAATGGCAACTTTGCCTTTTAACCGTCCTTCCTTGAGGCTTCTTGCCCACAAGTTAGTTGCCACGTTTTCTTACCGTCCGTCTTGTTCACCTTACGTTCGGCATCACTTTGACTGCCCTACCTGGTGCTGCCTCCGTTGAAGTTGTTGGGGCGTGGCTGGTTCCGGCTTGACCAGGCTCCACCGCTCCTTCCGGCTCCACCGCTTCCCCCTTCCGTTGCTGATTACGGGGGTTGGAATTTCAGGATAGAACCTGATGTTATGGGCGCCAGCAAACAGCTAGGTGCGGTTTGCGATTCATTATAAAGGAGGGAAGGCGTGAGTGGGTGGAAGCTGGCGATGGGTTTGACTAGCTCCTGGCAATGAGTCTCACCTCAGGTTGGCTAAGGGTCAGGCTCGGACAAGTGAGGGTGAAGCACTTCTAACCAACACAATGCACTGTACCACTGGTACACTATATTGTTTTCTTACAGTCACTCGGAGGTATAAATCCACACAATCAGGCCTAGTTTCGGCTTCCAAGCAGCCGGTGTTGCACTTGCTCAAATTATTTAACTTAACATGCAAGTATAATCACGGGGTTTGCCTCCGCCAAGTTCGAGAGTTTGTAGCAGACTCTTAATCTTAAACTGGACTCTCTGTCGAGCCAGAGGTCCTAACTGAATTGTATCCACCTCTTCTCTCCTCCTGCTAAATTCCCGGATAGGCTGATTCAGATAAGAGGAGTTGGCCTAATTTTGGTTCTGGCCAATGACCGATTGTTTTAGAAGTAGTTTCGGCCTGAAATCCCAAATGGCGAAATTGACAGCTATGCAACTTATGAGGGGTTGCTAATGATCTCCTGGCACTCCCACTTCTGACTTACGGCTGGTAGGGACTGTCACTTCTCGAATTCTCAAAGTGGCTTGCCGCTGTAAGTCAACTTCTCAATTTCTACAGAAACTCAGTGGGGTTCCTTGAAGTATCATTTCTGCCCTTTTCGAAAACAACACCAGATGCTTGGACGCAAGGACTAACAGATGTCATTGTCCGCGCAAGTTCGGTCTATCTGCTTGTTCTGACTGTGTCTTAACCTATGTTTCTTCGTAATTCTTATTGTCTACTTTATAAACAACTGAAATAAAAAGAGGGGGAGGGGAAGGATTTCAATGGTTTGGTTACAGCCTTTTACCTTAGGTCTTACTGCTGGCCTCATACATCTTGATATGATGTAAATGCTAAGGAAAAGACTGAGTTCTTTTACTTCCTGTGTATAATTCTCAGAAAGTGAATGTTTAATTTTTAGGATTTAATAAGCACGAAGAATGTGTTATATTTAGGTTGTGACATATTATGCCTTGTTTAGATACTGAATCACCTTACACTACTCATTGGTGCCTGCTATTGATATGTATATTTATATTCTTGCAGCATAACAGTCACATTACATAACTTTGTTTCTATTTACCTGTCCTGCAATGCCAAGCCTTTTCAACAGGAAGTCTCTCTCTGCCATTCTTATATTTCTTGTCCTTTCTTCACACTCTACAATCTGACCTGGTTCAAATGAATTAAGAAAAGACAGCTTTTTTTCTGCAACACGTTTCTGAAAAATAAGAAAAGGGCTCTGAATTTTTTTTTTTGCTGAACTGTATAATTTAAATGGCAAAATCAAAAGCAGAATAAAGTGCACACCATCATTCAATTTACTTTTCTATAGCATTTCCTGTCTAAACACCTATTTTTAAAATGAAAGACTTACTGTGTAGCCATCATTTTATACAGAATAATTCTTTAGGATACAGGCATACAAGACAATGAAGTTTTAGTTAAAATTAATGAATACTGTTGACAATAATTTCTGCCAGCACCCATATAGTCTAAACTTTCAAGCACAAAATGTTTTAGTGAATAATGTACAATTATCATGCCTTTTTTTTTGTGTGACCATTCTCACATTTAAACACAGAAAACTGGTTGTTAAGAGGAGCATTCAGGGTAAGTCTTTATCTCGAGATTAAGATTTTTTCCAACTAGAATAAGAAATCACTGTAAGTAAATAGAGAGCCTTGTGACTGAAACTTTTCATATTCCTTCATTCTCACGACACTGAAAGCGGTGACGAAAAATCTGTCCCCATAATTCACCATACTCTAATAGTAGATTCTTGAGGTTCAAATAACAATGCTAAAATGCCCAAGATACCACAAGCATTCTTGGGATACCTTTCAAGTAGACATAAAGCTGAACTGTAGACATATAAAACGCATTAACACCATAAAAATTAGAGGCATGCATAATCAACATAAGGCACCAATCAAAGAAAAAACATTGGCTGTAGAAATGATGTGGTGATGAATGTCCAGTCAGGTCTGAATGTGTTAAAATGGCTGACACCTCACCCGCACCCTGGAAATTGTGTGGCTGTCAATTAGAAGTATTCCTATTCGTCTGCATGACATGAAACTCTTCGCATACATTTCGAACTGGAATAAAACTTACTGGTAACATATATCTTTTCTTTATTGCTGGGGCAGTCTTGCTTTCTCTGCTCAATGGGGATTCAGGCTGCAGCTTGTCAACATTCTTGTTTTTCTGCCCAGCCTTACGATATCCTGCCTTTGCTTTCACCTTCAAAGAAAGACCAATATCATGATACAACATTAATTAGCCAGTGGTTTGGTAAGTGACTGTCAGTTTTACACTGACCTAGTTTCCTTACACATATTCAGTGAGAAAGAGAACACAACTTACTATACCATGAAGTAGAACATACAGAGGAAGGTCCTATACAAATTCAATACATTAAAAACAAGTTAATTTTATACTGAATAATTAAAAATTCTGAGTCTTCCAGAAAAGAAAAATGTGTTGATAGATGGTAACACAATCATTTCAATAACTGATGGGCTACAACATTACACAATTAATATTAAATGTTGTAAATTGTCACTCATATATTCATAAATAATGACAGGATATGAGCAGTTGTTTACTAATGCTTAACCCAAATTTGGTATTTTAATTTAGATAAATTTAACTACATTTTCCCTCGACTTTAAAACTAGTGCTGTTTATTACCACTGCTCCTGCAAGTATGACACACAGATGACAACAATATTTCGTAACAGAAATTTTCTAACCATCCACAGTACATCAAGGAAAATGGTGGAATATAAAAATGCATTTAGTTCAGAACGCACCTTCAAATTCATCATCATTTTCTGAACTTCTTGTCAATTAAGAATCATATACAAATACAAACCACGCTGTCCAATATGACCTATAAGTTTTTACTACATGAAACTTATCTCCCTTACATGTTTCAGTCCTTACGGACCATCTTCAGAGGGAAACATCATTACAAGTTGGAAACTACCATCACAAAATTGTTTGATTTAAATTACATATACTTACATGCTACAATGCACAGTACACATAGAGTAGAACATTTCACAATCACAGCAGCTTCCTGGTATTGTAAAGTTTTTAAAAGTTTCTAGTTATTATTTAAAAACCAGTGTTGTCAATAATTAAAATTTATAAACCATGTAGGTTAGTGT